CCTTGTAATTTAACAAACAAATATTATTATATAAGCATATTATATATATCATGAATATTGATCAACTTACAATTCTGTAACATGAATTCCATCATCAGGATATTGTGGTGGAAGTTTTAATCTATTCATGATTTCCAATGTTTTTTCAGTCACAATGCCCAACCTAATCTCATTTAATATACCAATAAAATCTATAGAATTAGAATTAAAAATTAGATCAATTTATCAAATAAATATTTATTCTTTTACCAGACTCCTTCTGTCTAAAAACTGTTGACAATTGTATCATATGGTTTATACATTTAGTCCATGAGTTTGATTCATAACAAAATTTAATATTACAATCTTTAGAAACTGGCAGTAGTTGGAAAAAATCACCTGTGACTATTAACTAATAAATAAAATATACAAATATATTTGTGTAAACATTATAAAAAAAACACCTCAAAAAATCATTAATCATTAAATATCAATCAATATTATAGCATACTAATATTCCACCAAATAGCCTATGATTATTGCGAATAGCTTGTGCAATTGTATCCAGTTTATCAAATAAGCCCCCATCAAGCATTGAGACTATATATAAATTATAAAATAATTAAATAAATAATAAATAATCAAATAATGATTATTATTATTTTCAATGAATTAGGTAAAAAAAAAAAATTATACCTTCATCAATAACCAATGCTTTAATAGATTTCCATTGGAGATAATGGATTTTTGATTTTTTAATTTTTTCAATAAGCTTTTCTGTTGATTCAGTTCCTAGCCCTATTCCTGCAAATGAGTGTAAAGTTGTACCAGAAATGTTAACTGCTGCTATGCCAGTCATAGCAGTTACAGCAACCTTTTCAGTTCCATAAATTTTTTTAAGAGCAACTATAATTTTTAACAGGACATGACTTTTACCGGTTCCTGCTGAACCAGTGAAAAATAAATTTTCATGTTTATTAACAGCTATGTCATAAACTAATTGCTGTTTTATTGACAAAGCCTCTTGTTCTTGTTTCTGTTGTTGTTGCTCTTGTTGTTGTTGTTGTTGTTGCTGCTGCTGCTCTTGTTGCTGTTGTTGTTGTTGTTGCTGAGATGATGGTTTTTTATGCAAGTATTTTTCAATCGATACCTGACTGTTCGTGATGACAAGTGGCGGGCGATAACCACCATTCTTTTTAATAACTAACTAGAGTGACGATGAGTGGCGGGCAATAACCACCACCACCATCCTTAAAACACTTCTTCAGCTTCATTTTCTCTTCTTTTTTTATTACTTAGACTTTGATTGTTTGGTATTGTTAAAAAAAAGAAGTTTGTTTAATTGATCGACGCGTACACATTAATTATTTATTATTATTCTATTGGTTGGGATGACAGACGCGAATTGTTTTTTTTTTGGGAAAACAATTTATTTTTTGACAGAGTCCAAGATGACAAAATGCAAATCTTCTAAAGAAGACGTGTTAATAACTAACCAGAGGTACTATTTTTTACTTGTATTGATATTTTTATTTTAGCTTATAAATATTTTAATTGGAAATCAAAAACGCGGAGCAGATCTTGCTGGGTAATTACAAGATTTTCATTGATAATATTTTGCTTTTCGTAATCAATATTAATATTAATATATAATTTAACTACAAGATGTCAAGGCAATACACCATTGAATATGAAACATTTTGATATGTGAAGTTTGATTACAGGAAAATGGCAGGTGTTGAAGCATGCACGCTACCTTGAACACTTACAGCCATTCTCTCATCTTCCTCATGTACACAAGGCTAATCTGACCTGATTGATCGATGATACAATGATGCAATTAAATTTTCTGGGGTATTGCGTGGCTTTGGAGTTTACCGAGACTGCATCAATCGTCAATGACGCTTTCACTAATCTTCCCAGACCAGAGATGGCCGCTGCCATGTTGGATGAAAAGTCACCTGCAACGATCCTACCTCTAGGGCAAGGATAGCTCTATGTCCAAGATGTTGCAACTCTGCTGATGAATATTAAGAGAACCTGGAGCTCGTTTCAAGCACAGGAGGTTGCAATTCAGAGCAGGGTTGGTGGCCCTGAAATTGCATTTGGGCTCTGATGATAAGAGGAAAGTTGTAAAATAGTGTTTGTTTTGTATAATAATTTTCATAAATGCTCAGTTTTTCTGATGCTAACCAATTGATGATTTTGGGTAGGGGACTGGGATGGGTTTTTGCCCAATCAGTCCTCTGTCCTGTAGGTTAAAATTATCACACGATATATACATCTTTGTCAGCAATATGGCCAATGAGAAAAAGTCATAAAATGGTTTGGATTTTGGTATGTTATAAATTAATCATTTTCATAAATGCTCTGTTTTTCTTTAATTTTTATTTGATCAACTGAATTTGTTATTTTAGTAAATGAGGGTAGGATTGTTGGTGAGTAGGCATGCCACCGACAAGACAACAACCCAGGCCTCAAAGCTCTGAATTCAGGGAAAATCCAAAACAGAAATTTCCCAAGTTGCTGAATTTTCAGGCATACAAAGCAATCAGCACACAAATGCTGATCCTCATCAATGATCAATGCTCATATGGAAACAGCCAGCAAGCCTGAGGGGAAGATAAGAAAAGTTTTGTCCAAAGCCTTCCAGCATGTTTAGGACCACTACACCCGTGGAAAAAATTCCATGGTGCTGAATTGTGCTTAATTGCACTGTCTTGCATGTTTGTGATAGGAAAATTTAATTAAATCTGACACCCGTGATCAACATCAGATTTATTATAAGGAACCATAATTGATAATCAGGAAAATTAATTTATTTCATGAATCCCAGAGATCTGGGTTGACACATTATTAGGAGTTTCATTCATGCATGGCCTTGGTAACATTACTACCTGAATGATGCAATTGTTTGTTATGTCAATTATGATATCAAATGTATCGCATAATAATCATGACCAATGAATATTTGATGGATGGAGGCATTCACATACAAGGAAACAAAGAAAATGATTAAATAGTAAGTCATGTTTGTTTTGTTAAAAACATATGATCAATTATATTTAAAATATACAATAAAAAAATTGCAAGATGGCACCACTATGTCAATCAAGCTATCAAGCTGTTATGTTTGTGCGATTTAAAATTCTTTTGTGCTAATTTAGGGTCCCATCTTTCTTTGCTTACATATAATCTATTGGTTCTCTCTTTACTGGCCAAATTGGGTAATGGGGTATCAGCAAATATCAGAATCTGATTATAATATTTTTAATATTTTTATCATATAGTCTAAAAACTTATTTGTAATTAAATTATTGGTTAAATATTTCTAAAGCTCTTTGTGCTAAAATAATATCATATCTTGAGTAGCAGTTAGGTTTCTATTCAAATGTTTATTTGAGTAAAACAAACAATTCAAGTAATAATAAAACGAATAAAACGAATAAAAATGAACAAACCGAACAAAACGAACAAAACGAATAAGCGAATAAAACGAACAAAACGAATAAAACGAATAAAATGAATAAAAATGAATAAAAACGAATAAAACGAATAAAACGAATAAAACGAATAAAAGCAAATAAAATGAATAAAAGCAAATAAAACGAATAAAACGAATAAAACGAATAAAAAGCAAATAAAACGAATAAAAGCAAATAAACAAATAAAACAAATAAAACAAATAAAACAAATAAAACAAATAAAACGAATAAAACAAATAAAACAAATAAAACGAATAATTTGAATAAAAGCAAATAAAACGAATAAAATGAATAAAAAGCAAATAAAATGAATAAAACGAATAAAAGCAAATAAATTAATAAAACGAATAAAAGCAAATAAAACAAATAAAACAAATAAAACAAATTTCATCAATGGTGTTTGTTACCTTCAAAAATCTCTTTGTACCAATAAATTAGATATATTATACTATTCCATACTCAAAGTTGGAAATGATATCTCTCTTTTTCACTGACTAGTAGCATTTTGAAAAATGTGTTTTTATTATATCCATTACACTTTCAGCAATTTTTGATGGTGACGTTTTCATCAATGCTGTTTGTTACCTTCAAAAATCTCTCTGTACCAATAAACTAAATATATTATACTATTCTATACTCAAATTTGGAAATGATATCTCTCTTTTTCACTGACTAGTAGCATTTTGAAAATACGATTTTATTTATTGTTTTCTTTGCGTTGTCGATCATTAAAAAAAAATAAGTGATCGACACTATATGAGATTACTTAGTTTTGATTTAATTAGACTGTAACACCCCCCAACAACATATGTATACATTTTTTAAATACGGTCGCACCTGTCTATTTGCATATTGTTGGGACTGATGAGTTTTTATGTAAATAGACAGAATATGTATATTCACGTTATTGTGTGGTTGCTGTTACATACAATCACGTGACATGAATGTTTCGTGTCATTCGCGTCATGGTTTTAATCAATTCATTAATTTTAATAGCTTAATCATAAATTTTTGAATTTTACTCAATTTTATACAAACATCATATATTTTGTTATCCTTTACATTTACAATGAAGAAAGTCACATTAAACAATCAACAACATTATCAAATCTGTTTAAAAAAGCAAGATGACCCAAGAATAACCCAAAAAGAATTAATTAATTGGTGTGAACAAGAATTTGGTATAAAAGTTGATCAAGCAACTATTTTCAGAACATTAAAGCACTCATATGAGTATTTGGATAATGAAACAAACTTACTACAAAATCCACTACAGAAAAAACCCCATAATGTTAGATATCCTGAACTTAAGCTTGCACTCCAAGAATGGTGTTTGCCCTCACAAAACCATATTCCTCTCACCGACCTAATCATAACTGAAAAAGCTAAATCATTTGCAAAATTGCTTAATATTCCTGATGATGCATTGACATTTTCTTCTGGATGGCTTCAAAGCTTTAAAAACAGGTATATTTTTACACATATTTATGATATTAAATTATTAATTTCTTCTATAACAAATAATTACATATGTAGAAACAATTTGAAAAGATATCAATTGCATGGAGAAAGTGGATCAGCTGATACCAACGCAATTGAAAATGCACTTCCTGATTTAAAAGCAATCATTAGCTCCTTTAGATCTGAATGTGTATATAATATGGATGAAACAGGACTGTTCTTCTGACAAGTATAATATTATAAACAATATTTAAAATATTGTTATTTGCTAATGTAATTTAATAAATACATATAGTCTTGAACCTGACACAACTCTAGCAACAAAACAACTTGAGGGAAAAAAAAAGGACAAGGAATGTTTGACTGTTGTGCTCTGTTGTAATGCTGATGGAACTGATAAACTTCCACCTCTCATTATTGGAAAATTTTTAAAAC